TACTTGAATAGGTTAAAGGAATGCCAGATCGTGATTATATTTATATCATACTTCTGTTGGCCCAACAACAACGCATTAGCTCAATTGACATGTAATTGCGATGCTTACCAGATACCATTGAGAACCCCACAAAGGGTCATTTGGAACCGAGAAAGTTTCCATCTTGCGCTTCACAGCTAATGCATTATTGCTTTCTTGCCTCTCTGTTTTGTTTGTGCTGATATGCAACGATGCACTCTCATGCTGATGTGCAAGTCTAGCATCGGCAACTATTGTGGCCGAGGAAGTCAAGTGGAGATCTTCGTCGTTGTTGTCTCGTTTCTGCCGACTCAGAGAATACTGCTGTTCAAACCATAGCACCTAAAGATACCCAACTCATTCTGCTGCCTGAATCAGTGACCTAGCACCTAAAGATACCCAACTCATTCTGCTGGTTGAGTCAAACGCAGACGACGACTGACGCACATTATTTTAATTAAACGCTTACGAACATTATATTTAAATTTAGATTCTTTTTGCTCGACGAATCTGACGGATGTTAATAAACCAAAAAATGCTCGTCCAAAGGTAGAAAACTCTATTTGCACGCATTTCATTCCCTAAAGTCTATAACGGAACTTAAAAAGCGCTATAATAAATTGTTTCCAAATTACAAATGAAGAATTCTTTTACAAAAACGTCTCTTGAGAGAGCGCCATAAAACTAAACTAAGCATGTTTTCAGGGTCTCAGAGCGAGAACCAAAAACGGTTTTTTAGATACCTTGTAGTTAGGGGGAAAAAAACTTGGGATGAGAGCTCAACTCGCCCACAAAAGATGGCAGCGGGAAAACCTTACCGTTTGGTAGAAATGGAAGTTGAGGGTTCACCAGAATAAAAAACTTCTTAACTGATGTTGTCGCAAAACAATAGAGGCGGCAAAATCAGATTTATTATAGTTAAACTAAAAAAAAGCTTATTTATCAGGTCACTATTAGCTTGAAAATAGTTATCTAAAAACTAATGATTGACGTTGTTTAGTTCCTGGTAATTGAAAGTTTTTATAATTTCTGTAAACTTAGGGAACAAAAGAAGCAAGCTGCCGAGGAGTTCTAGCAGCAATCGAGTGCTTTAATGCAAGCTTTGAGTGTATTGCGACAACTCTCGCTATATTTCTTTTAGTTGAAACTTTTTGTTGCATTTCTTTAATAATCATTTTTTGTAAAAATTTGGATTGGCATTCACTCCGTATTCTTTTGCAGAAAACTTTTAGCAGTTCATAAGTATGTATTTCTTTAATTGAAAAAAAATTTATATTGTTGTTTTGTGTTTGCTTGATTCAAATTATGAAACGCATTATGAGATGTAATTGATTTTATCGGACAATTCACAGCCTTTCTAGGTGTTCAAATTGTGTTTTATTAGTTGATGCGTACTCCATACGAGGACTCCATTTTCTACGAGGACTCCATATTGTAAAGGTTTTATTTATAGGCCAAAAGAAGCTGTTTTTGTTCAAAATCTTTCTCAGTCTATAAAAAGCCCACAGTACTGTCTTTTTCTGAAGAAGTTATGTAGTTTTCGAACTTTAATTTTTCATGAATAACTATTCCAAGATATTTGAAGCTTTTGAGTTTTTTCATTTTTACGCCATTTAATGTATCTGTAGAGAGTTTAACAGCTGAATTTTTCACCATAAAGCATAGTTTTGTTTCTGTGTTGAGTGTTAGTTTATTGCTTGCTAACCCAAAATTAGTTTCGTCTAAGACTTCTTGGTGATCTGCTTAGACTATTCAATGAAGAGGTTGTTTATACAACTGTATCATCCGCATAGAGTAACATGTTACTAATGTTTTGAGAACTGTTGCTTTTTTCAATATCATTTATATAAAAGATGAATAGACGTGGGCCTCATAATGATCCCTATGGGACACCAAAATTAATTCCTTATTGACATCGAGTGGCGATCATGCAAAAACGTTAATAAACTGTCAGTATCTGGTTCCTGGAATAATAGTGAACTTCGTTCATACCTTCGAGTTAGAGTGTAGAGCGGAGTGCAGATCGGGGACTGAAGAGTCACTCAGATCTCTTCGATGTCTGTGGGGCACTTGCAACAAGTAGTGATCATCCAGCACCTGCAACAGATTAACATACAAAAAACAACAAACACTCACAAAATATTCATGTCAAGAGTGATTATAATCAAAACAAAAAAGTGCGAAAACGAAAAAAAAACTTTTCAATAAAACTATCTTTCCAATTTCACCAATTTCACTGTTCAATTACAGTTTTGAATTTGAATGAATCTTAAGATTCGAATTTACAAAGTTGAATTAATTTCAATTTCTAGAGCCGTATCTGAATAAAGATCTAGCTGATTTGAAAACAGATTTCTCGGAAGCAACCTATAGATGAATTGATTCTAATATATGAAATTACAAAATTTGCTCGAGCACAACGTATTCTCTCAAATACCTTTTCCGCCATTCAATCTGTTAAAAGAAATTCATTGTTTCAAAATTCTATGCTCTCAAAATCTATCCTTTCATTAGTAGTCCACCATATATTAGTCATAGGAATGTGCTATCTTTCAAACTGAGTTTGAGAAACTAAATCCCATTTCGAGTTCTCGAAAAAATCACAAGAAATTCATGAGCAAAAAACAGCATTGAATGAAAATGCTTCTCAAGCACGCTGTTTAGTTCAAAGATCAAGAAAGAAAGAAATAAATTACCTTCGAAATATAAATTAGGTCATGTTCACTAGCAATCTGGTGGGCCTCTTTTAGCCCTCCCTTGCACTGGACCACCACTTCGTCCGTATACTGAATCTGTTTCTCTTCAGATGAATACAGGACAGATGACTCATCGTCTTCAGCTTCAGACAGACCAGAAGAGCGACGAGAATTTGTGATACCAGGAAACACGCCGACAATCAACACGATTGACAGGCATGTTTTGATGCAATACTTAATCATTGATATTACATTATTGGTCTGGAATAAGACAAAAAAAGAGATTATCAATAACTACTCTGAGACCGATTTTTATATTGATGCCTAGTCAAAGTGATCAATAAAAGAAATTAAATCAAACAACAATATGCTCACACGGTCAGCCTCGTTGAATTAATATATTTTCAGGAAATTTAGTTTCCGTAGAAACATTTTTTCATCTTATTTGGTGATAACTGCTCAGTAAGCATTATCTATAAAACAATTTCCTTACATCCGATATAGAGCCCTGAGGTACTCAACTTGAACTTAATTTAACCTCTCCTCCGAAGCATCGTTCCCAGACAAGTATAAATTGAACTACTTCTTCGATGCCAATTATCTTTCTGATCAAAACTTAGCAGAGATTCAGGCAATCTTGAAAAAGTTTCGCATCATTTGAGATACAATAACGTCTACAAATGCTTTAGCCAAAATATGCAAAAATTATCTTTGAAACTGCATCATTCCATCATGGATGGAAACCGGTCGGGTCGACCGACGATTGACCAGCTGGGAGAACCGGCGGCAAGCCGGTCGGGTGGACAATTCCTAACCAGCCGGTCACCGGCGGACACTCGTTACTCGCTCGTGATGTGCTAAAACTTTTCGTCCTATTTTCTGAGCATGACTTAATTGCACTCGCTTACAATATCTACTTTAATAAGCACAAAATTCGGTTTTTAGAGCATCAAATAAAACGGCTACCGTTATGAACATTTTATGCTATAAAGCAATGAAAACAAAACAAAAAACAATCAGCTTCTGGCCAATATCGAACACTTAACCTTTGACCCGTTACATCCAAACAGACCGAATAAATTGTTAGCCCCCAAAAACTTTTATTCCGATGTGCTAACTCTTCCAAATCGCAAGCGTAAAAAATACAGCTGGTCGCACAACCAAAAATTACAAAAGTTTCGACCAAAGTAATTAAACGAAAAAGAAGCTGATAAAAATTTACGAGAAAAAGAATCTTTTATACAAAGTCTGACAAGTTTCCATGTTAAATTTCACGTCAGAACTCTTCAAAAATGAAATTTTTATGCAACGGTAAGAGAGCTGAATTGCATCAAAGAAAGATTAATTAAAAAAACGCCAGTAAAGGAAATAAAAAGTTTTTTTTTTTCAAAAATTCAACCAAAAACTTGCCGCCACATTCCTACAAAGACAAAAATGGAGTCGAAATTGCAGAAAAATTTCTGGAAAGGTATCAAGTTTTTTTTGAATTTTTTAGATATTAAAATAATACGTTAAACCATCGATTTGAACTGATAAATAAATTGCTCAAACCTAAAATAACTAAAAATAAAACTAGAAACACGCAATTTCAAAAAACTTTTATTTCCAACAATTTAATTGCGAACTTATTAGGCCAAGGTAAACATAATTGGTCTAATTAGGAACTAACATACGAACTAATTAGGCCAAGGCAAACATAATTGGTCTAATTAGGAACTAACATACGAACTAATTAGGCCAAGGCAAACATAATTGGTCTACATACTTAGTATAGTAAAACCAGTCATTACACCATAAAAATAATGCTCGTGCGAGGTGGAGGAAAAAGGAAGAAGAACCGAAAGTAAGCAGACAACAACATTACGAGGTCAAATTGTGCACTGGTTGGCGCGCAATTCAGTCAGTGTATGTCTCTGGAACCCAGAGACAAGTCTTTAAGCATGTTAAAATTTTGTCGGAACGATCAAAGAAAACGAAAAAACAAAGGAAGGTCAAAAAGAGCGTCTTTTGTAACGGAATCCGCTTATAATTCCAAAAAAAAAACAGTTTGGCCTGATAATGAAATAATGAGAAACGATAGACTGACACCGAAGAAAACCAAAGTCCAACCGGGACTCGAACTACTATATCTTCCACGGTGCGTGCTTCAGCTCTAGACCAAGAGATAAGGGGCTTGAAAGATCTTCCGGTCCCATCACAAAGTAATGAAGTTTTCTCAGATTTGTACGGAAAGTTGTTTACAGTAAAAATTGTATAGACAAAATCCTGTAGAAAAATATTCAAAACAGATGTCCAAAATATTTTGTCAAATGGATATATCTTAACTTCAGTGCGACAAAACACTGTTTTAGGGTAACAATATGAAGGTTCCAAACTTTCAAATTTGTAAGCACAGCCTCAATAACAGTTCTTTGTTGAACAATAGCATTCAAACACCACTTTTAATTTCATTAGCTACCATAATAGCCAAAGCATTTTACAAATTGTACTAGCAATAATTTACATAATTATATTTTTTATCAATTCACTCTGTGTCAACTGGTGGAAGCCCCTTTGGCTCGTTCATCTTTCATATACTTATCGTACTTCTGTTTCTGCTGTTCGTACTGTTTAATCAGCTTTTTCTTCTGGCTCTCCTTGACCTCAGACCCATCTCCCAAGTGAGTCGGAATTCCCTTGTCGTCAAACGCCGAGTACTTGTCGGTGTCGCCTTTGAACATATCTTTCGGGTCTACTTTGTACTGTGCATTCTGTTCCTGTTGACGCTTCTTCAAATTCTCTTTTTCTTGTAGCTTTCGTTCCTTCAGTTCTTCCATTTGCCTCCTTTCACGTTCGATTGCTTCCTTGCCAACGTATTTGATCACAGACTTTTGACCTTTAACACAAATATTACACAGAGGTTTGAAACACAGAAGGTTCTTAATAATACACTATGCTGGAGCTAGTGTAAAAACAAAGCAAGTAAGAAAAGCAACTATGACATTTAAAAGTTGTTAACCGGAAAAAGTCTAGTTCCCGATAGCAAGACACTTGCTCTCGCAAAAGTAATAAGTTAAATCAAATTGGCATTACTTCGTGTCCATATTTCCAGCACAAATTAATTCACGTAAAATATATTAAAAATTTGAAACAATCAAACAATCACGTTTATCCAACCAAGAACATTTTTTGAAACATCTAATTTAAAAAAAACTCGCCAGCTATCCTCTTTTCAAAAATGTGTTAAAATGTCTTCTTGGTGTTATTACTTGAATGTAAAATACTGAACAACAATTAACTTTTATTCGCGGAAGTATCATGGCGTCACAGTACAGTGACTGAAATTGCACTTCGAACTAAAATGAAAAGGCTTCGATAAGAAACTTCATTCCAACCAACGCGACGTTTTTTTTATGGTAGTTGATCTTTGCGAGGAAAAAAGCCTGAAACTAAGTTCCTCGCCGCCTTCAGTGATCGGAACGAAATAATAAACCAACTACATATTAAATTCAGAGGCTTCAATGCCTCCACGATGATTCGAAACTTAAAAAGCAACCTTGCTTGTCTTCCAGCCTCACGCCCTGGTCAGGTAGAACTTCATCTCGCAACAAGTCACATGACTTCAGCAGAGTGAACGCACACTGCCTTGCTTCTTCTCTGAAGTCGGCGAACATGTCCAAAAATGGCAGCAACAACTTCTCCCCATCTCCCGCTTCACCAGGGCCCCCCGAAAACCCAATTGGCGACTTCTTATCAATCACGCCAAACACCGTCAACAGATGAGTTATGTAAGTAGCGACCGCTCTTAATAAGGCAAAATTTGGTTCCGCATTTCCCATAGACTGAATATACGAATTGATAGAGGAGACTAAATTCTTCATGGTCAACATTACTCTCGGCGTGTTGAACGAATCGCACAAATGAGCATGAATCTCGCTTTTAGCTTGCACGAGCTCTTTGAAAAGCGACTTTTCATCTTCAGTGACTTTTCTAAGCTTATTGGCTTCGGGGTCAGACCGCAATTTGTCTTTGACCACTAAGAAGAACTCGGATAAATACTTTTCAAAGCTAAGCGCCTCCTTCATAGTCTCATAGCTGTAATCCAAAGTCGATGACCATTCGTGTAACAAAAACAGAATTCTGATTTGAGTAGAAGAGTAAGTTTCCAGAGCAGATTTAATTGACGTGAAATTCTTCAAAGACTTCGACATTTTGCGCCCCTCGATATTAAGATGTCCAGAGTGCAAGAAATATCGGATCCAATCGTTGTTTCCAAAATACGCCTCGGCTTGTGCGATTTCGTTGTCGTGATGCGGGAACTTCAAGTCTACACCTCCGCCGTGTATATCTATACTCTGCCCTAGTACATCACTAGCCATTACACTACATTCTATATGCCAACCAGGTCTTCCTTGGCCCCAAGGTGAGTCCCAAAACGGTTCCCCTGATTTAGATTTCTTCCAAAGAGCGAAATCCCTTGGTGACCGTTTCTCTTGCGATTGGTTTTCCGCAACACTCAAACCACCTTCCCCTTCGCGCAGCTTCGCCTCGTCTCCAAGCGCCTCGGGAACTAGTTTGGCGTAATAATGGCCAGATGTTGATGTAAATTTATCCACGTCGAAATAAACACTATTATTTGACTCATATGCCACTCCTTTTTCAATCAATTTTTCAACAAATGTTACAATTTCAGGCACGTATTCGGTCACACGGGTCAAAATATCAGGTGATTCGATTCCAAGGTTTTTCATGTCATCAAAATAATCTCGCTCGTAAAATCTGGGAAGCTCCTCGAAAACTGCTTTGTCATTAACTTCATGACCAAACTCATGGTCCAAAAGTTCCATCAAAGCATCTTTTGATTTTTCTATCAGAGTTTCGATTTCATCTTTTTCAAAGTTAACAGAATCGAGTTGTGTTTTGACGTTATTTAATGTGAAAAGTTTATCAGCATCTTTTTCTGCTGCCAACTTTGAGGTCAATTCTACTTTACACTTTTCTATGTCAGTTCTCACTTTGTCTATCGAATGTGAATAGTTTTTGTATTTATCCAGCAAGTACCTTTGTCTAGCTCTCTGTATTATTTTGTCATCAATATCAGTTATATTCATAACAGCAAGTACATCATATGAGAAATAGTCACGGAGAATACGTTTGATAATATCAAATGTTATGTACGCCCTCGCGTGGCCCATATGCGATGAGTCATAGACTGTGGGTCCACAGCAGTACCACGTGACACTTTTTCCATTCAGAGGCACGAATTTGTCCTTCTTCTTTGTGAAGCTGTTGTATACTTTAAGTTCAGGTGGTGATTTAAAGGGCTCAGGGCTCCACTCGAAAGTCGCCATTTTATCTGAAGATCAGGAAATATTTCAAATTGAAGAAGTTATCAATGTATATTTTATGAACAAAAAGCATAACATACAGCTATTTCCCAAATCAATACAAAAACTTTCAAGCTTAAGATAAACGAAAATGTGCTACACCTAGAATACTTGTATTGCTCTGACTTTGAGGCACTTAGCACAGTGGTAAGGCGTTCACTTTGAAATCGTCAGATCGTGTATTCGATCCCATGCCATGGCAATGATAGTGTTTGAGGACAAGCTCTCACTTGACCTCCAGCTTCAGGTCTGCCACAACCTGACCAAATATGGCTGCAATAGTGGTACCACGTAAAAGTTCTAGACGCAAAAAAACGGCCTTGAGTCGCAAAAAACAGCTTCGCTCAGCAAAAATAACACTGTCTGGAATGTGGGGAGATAATACAAATGGACTGACTACCCTCGACAGGACTGTTAAGGCCTACTGATAGCTCCTCTGCGATTCGCAGGAACTACAATTATTATTATTTATTACTTTCGAAAACAGTGATGGAATATTTGCGCTTTGGTTTTTTATTCACATCAATTTCGACTTTTTAATTTATCATTTTTCATGGAACTTATTATACCTTGAAATATTGATGCACTGGGCTTAAAATTAAGATATTTCACACGGTACCGTTTCACAAATAGCTGTGGGGTTGAAAACAAATGTCTATTAAAGCGTTGCCTGCCTGAAGGGTAAAACGTTAATCAAGAAAACATTCTTCAAGAAAACTTTCAATTTCTTTTTTGAGAAATTACTCGTATTTTTGTTGCAAACTATTGCAGATGCATCAAAAGTAATTTGGAATATTCTTGTTCAAACTTTAAACAATAATTATTATATATTTGCATGTGATTGACCGGAGAAAAATATTCTTTTTCTTTAACTGAAAAATATTCGTATATCCAAAATCGAATCTATGAATTCACCAGAATTTGACTTTTTTCAGCTAAGTAAGGGGTAGATGATAGTGTGACATCCCAGGACAGCCCCGATTTCTAGAGAAACATCTTTTTCGATGCAGCTAGGACGTCGGAATTCGTGCAAATTTTTTATGAGTAAATTCAGAATATATTTGGGCATCAAAAATTTGCACGTTATTTTATGCTTACGCGGAATCCACAGAAATTTTTAAGAGGAATGTCGTACAAACGCAATTTTTCATCAAAACATTCCAAAACTTCTAAAAACTATATGGGATCAGTTTAGTATTTCGGGAGGGCCTGGGACCTATACAAAACGTGTCTAATAATCTGAAGCCGAAAAAAAAATATTTTAATTTTAATTGAATCCAAACTTAAGAATCTCTGCAATTTTATTTCGAACCTACTCAGTACTATCCGAATACACAAACCTGCTGAAAAATGATAAGTTGTGTCGATGTAAGTGTTGATAAAATGAACCAATTATTATCGTTTATTAGTTGTTATATTATTATTATTAGTCGCTGAAATTTTGCGTGATGGTAAATGGGCACCACGCATGAATAGATTAAGAAGCTATTACGCTATTTTCAAGAACGAAATCGGTAAAAAGAGTGAAAAATTGCAAGAGTTAAAAATAGTCTGACAAAAAATCATTAAACGAACCGCAACATCTAGATAAGAATACCATAACTTATGACAACTGCGGTTTATAAGTCATAAAAGTTCGAAGTTAATGCAAAGAGAATAATTCAAGGTTCCTGAAAAATGCAAGAGTCATTTTGAAAAACCTTGAAAATTTTTTAAAAAACTTACAATTTAGAAAATGAAGACAAAGAAGATTCTAGATTTTATGCAAATATAAATTGACTAAAGTTCCTCCCCATTTTCAATGGTCCGAGCAAAAAATTATCAAAATTGAAGTTGCAAGTGGAGCTAAAACCCCAATTAATGCTCAATCAAAAATCTATCACAGCACAAAACAAAAAACAGATTATGAAAACTAATAAAAAAAACCATGCCTCGAGGAACAAAACAAAACAACAACCGGATAAAAAATGCAAATAGCTAGACTTTCCAATATTACACATGTTGCAACTTCACAAAAATAAATAGCTGCTCCTTCTGTAAATAACAAACCATTTTGAACTTGAAAAATTACAATTTCTCTTAAAACATAACCAACTGACTGTGCGAGAAGAGCAATGAACGCAAGAAAAGTAAAACTAAAAAAAAAAACTTTTGAATTTCGAAGAAACAAATAGATTGCATTAAAGAAGGCAAATAGAGGGCATTAAAGAAGGCAAAAAAATTGAATAGAAAGTAAAAATAAATTGATCCAATTAATCAAAAATATTAATTCAAAATAACTATGATTAACATTTTGGTTAATTAACAGTATAAATAGGTATTCATGTTGAATTTTTGAATAGGTATTCATGTTGAAAATAAACAAGCCATTCTGCGCTTTTGTTTGAAATGAATATTTTATACGAAACTTATACATGGCTAGCGGGAGATTCTACCGTAGGTTACTTGGGGGGGGGGGGGAGGAGGAGGGAGGTATTGTACAGTTGATCCAAAATCAAACTCAGAATATGTTCAAGCAGATTTGCAGGCTTATCGAGCCTAACTTTTGCGGTTACTCGCACAAACTAACATAACTGTCAAAATGAACAATTCTAGAAAGTATTCTACCAAAAAAAATCCAGAACAAAATATTTTCTGCCTGAAGCGATTTGGGAGGAGTATCCATAGTTTTAAAATAGTCTACACTGTTATTTCGCTTTTTAGAACAACAATCATTTAATTGAACTTACCTCAAAATCATATATTTATAATTTGAAGCAGCTTTGCTGGCTAACCGAGCTGATCTTTTGCATAAGTTCTCAATTACTAAGATCAGAAAGAGAACAAATTGAATATTTTAGCACGGTTTTTCCAAACAAAACTTAGCAACTATTAACATATTTCATCACTTCACACAGGCGTGAAAATCTATTTTCATTTTAACAGATGAATCTACATCTCATCTTTATCATCATTGAAAAGTCCAAAAAAAACATTTACTTAGTACTAGCGCATGACAAAAATATGCACCAAACCAGCAATTTTTAACGCAACCGTGAAAATAAACTAGGCTCATCAGAGGTTTATTTTTCATAAAAACGGCATATCTCGAAAACCGAAATGATTTGATCATATATAATTAGATTCAGATTTGCTACCTTATATTGTTTCCTGACAGCATCCCACCATAAGGATAAGAAATTCAATTTCTAATTTCTTTTTGTAATTTTGAAATTATTGAAGAAACGCCATATCTCGCAAGCAAGAAAGAATTGAGTACTAAAAGTCAGAGCCGAAAATATTTGCATCCTGACAGTAACCCCTGGATGTACCCTGACAAAACCGCGCCATTGGGGTTGAGAATTTCAAGATTGGTTATTTATTTAATTCAAGTTTTTTGAAAAACATTGAAAAAATCATAAAAATTGCCACATAAAGGAAACCACAAAGATTTGATCAAAAATAATTAGAGGGCATATTTGCTAAGCAAATGTGTAACTGACAAGACACCGCCTTAGGGTTGAGAAATTGAAGTTAAGTTAAAGTTTTTTTTTATGTCTAAATTTTTTGAACAAAAAAATGAAACCATATAAAAGGCCATGTCAAGAAAACCGTAAAGCTTTGAGCAGCCCAAACCGGAGAAGTTTGCCCTGAGAACACCAAAAAAGGATTGAGAATACCAAGTGCGCTTGGTTTTTACTAAACTGATTTTTTTTGAAAAAAGAAAGAAAAAAAACGTTATGTAAAACAAATGTTACACAAGTGTAACAAATGTTACACGATATGCAAATGTGTAACTGACAAGACCCCGCCTTAGGGTTGAGAAATTGAAGTTAAGTTAAAGTTTTTTTTTATGTCTAAATTTTTTGAACAAAAAAATGAAACCATATAAAAGGCCATGTCAAGAAAACCGTTAAGCTTTGAGCAGCCCAAACCGGAGAAGTTTGCCCTGAGAATGCCAAAAAAGGGTTGAGAATACCAAGTGCGCTTGGTTTTTTCTAATCTGATTTTTTTTTGAAAAAAGTTTAAAAAAAACCGCCATATTACGAAAACCAAAAACATTTGAGCAGCCACATTTGAACGCCAGCTTTGAAACAACTGAATTTCAACCTCACAGCAACCCACAATAGGGTTGAGAATTTCAAGCTCGGTTAGTTTTTATATCTTATTTAAAAAAAAACGCCATATTACGAAAATACGAAAACCAAAAACAATTGAGCAGCCATATTTGAACGCCAGCTTTGAAAAACCTGAATTTCAACCTCACAGCAACTCACAATAGGGTTGAAAATTTCAAGCTCGGTTAGCTTTTATATCATATTTTTTCAAAAAAAGAACGCCATATTACGAAAACCAAAAACATTTGAGCAGCCATATTTGAACGCCAGCTTTGAAACACCTGAATTTCAAATAGGGTTGAGAATTTTCAGCTCGGTTAGTTTTTATATCTTATTTTATTTTGAAAAAAAAGAAAATCATAAAGAACGCCAAATCTCGAAAACGAAAATGATTTGAGCAGATATAAATAAAGAACAGTTTTGCTACTCTGTATTTTTACTGAACAACAGAGTTTGACCTTGCAGAACCCCACCATACGTTAAGTATTTCATTTTATTACTTGTTTTTTGAAAAGTATTGAAGAAACGCCATATCTGACAAACAAAAGAAATTGAGCAGTTAAAGTCAAATCCGAGATTATTTTTAACCTGACAGTGCCCCCTGAAAGAACCCTGACAAATCCCCACCATTAGGGTTGAGAAATTCGAGATACGTTGGTTAGATTTTTTTTAATTCAAATTTTGTGAGAAAATTGAAACAATCATAAAACACGTAATGTTGAAATACACAATGATTTGATCAGTCATGTTTAGATGGCAGGCTTGCAACGCAATTGTGTAACTGAAAGGACCCCGCCTTATGGTTGATAATTTGAAGTTCTGTTAGTTTTTTCAAATCTGAATTTTTCTAACTTTTTTAACGACCATT